TATAAAGAATAGTTCAATCATTGTGTTTGTCAGATATTTTGACGTCTATAAATATAAAATAACACAGCTGTAGTTCAAGGACCAGCTTATGTCTCCCTCCAATGTTTACAGGCCCACCTACAGTATGTACACTATATTTACAGTACGTTCTGGCCGGAGCTTTCTCATCTCTGTGTGGAAACGTGGATAAACAAAGTGGGCGATTATTTTGAAGGGTGTCTCGAGGAAATGTACGTGTTTGGGAAGAGCGTGCAGAATATTCCACAGGTCACACACACACACACACACACACACACACAGTCTCTGCTTCGGTATGTCCTCGCAGCAGGAAGTGGCTTTGTTCACTCCACTGGACACGGGACAATTGAATTCCACTTACCCAACCAGTCAAGCAGCTCAACTTGAATTTGTAGCCACCAGATGAGTTCTTTCACAGCAGTAATAGAAAGATCTGCGTCACTGGTGGTCTGCGCTCACATGCCTGAGTTGATAGACAGAATAGACGGCTTAAATTGTCAATGATTATGTAACTTTTTGGTTTCATAAAGTATACATGTTGTTTGTTCCCAACAGAAAGAGTTTTGTTAAAGGCACTTTGTGTAATTTTTACAGTTGTTCCAAACGAAAAAAACGTGTTAACCAAAAACAAATGTGACCTTTTTAAGAATATTTTCCTCCACCATGTTTTTTTGCTAGACTCTTAAGCAATGTTAGACTGCTGCCCCCGCGACCTGCAGCAACAGATGCAGCGGAATAAAATGGACGAATGGATGGATGGATGTTTCAACATTTTCGTCATAGGCTTAGAATTTGAATTATAAATGTCCATGAGGCTGGAGGACTCTACATGTCAATATGCCATACTGAAATACAGTGGCTGATAGGGACAAAAAGGAGTTTTAGCGGGAGTTGGGAACCGTAAATTACAATATATGACTTCAATGTAAGATGTGAGTAAAAACTACCTTTAAAGTAAAATGTTGTGAACAAATCAGTCCGCTGAGTCACTACTTGACGATTTGGGGCAAGAACTGATTGACCGAGTGAAGATGGTCCTCCTTCTTTTTTTTCCTTTTCTGTCTGAAGATGTGATAGAGGCGAAAAAAAAAAACATGCATGTAGAAACTATAATGATAGAACCGAACTGTTTTGAGAAGAAGGAACTAGTTGAATTTGAGTTTGATTTGTTTTGGTTTGCGAGTTAGGTACCCCAGCTTTAAATACTGATATTAATCATTGGCGTGAATGGTATATTTGAAAGGATTAAGAGGTGTTTGAATACAAGAAAAAAACAGAAGAATTCAAGAAATTAAATAATACTGAAATGAAAACTGAAATTAGTTCTCTGTTTGAATAGAGTCACAGATTTGCTGAGTTGGCATTACCTCAGCATTGTACTCATTTGAATTCACTGTGTTTCATTTGTATAATCGACTGAAGTTGTTTAAGAGACTTTGTTGGAGCCTTGTGTAAAGTAGATTAACGCAGAGAGAGCTCATTCAGAACCAAACAATGGAGCATTTCTACGTTTCATAATCAGCATTGGGCCATGACACAGCAGCATTCAGAACAGCTTCTCCACAAACCCACACAGCTCTCAAAGACGACGGAGGCCCCACACAGCGGCTGAGGCCAGGGCCACTGACACACTCTGACAAGAAGGTCCAGACCGAGCTAATGTGAAAGACAAAGCTACTGTATGCTACTGAAATAACAATGCATCAGTTTTAAATGGCACTTTTTTGGACACTGAATGACATGGCAATATGAATTCACTCCGTACAATGTTGGTAGCCGCAGCTGCCCTGGGACACACTGAGGGATGCGATGCAAGCAGTATGTGTCATCGGCCCCTGCGATCACCACCATTAACACACACACCAGACTCATTCTAAGAAATATGCGTGAAGTTTCTTGCCTAGTGTGCTGTATCACCTGGTGTTCTCAGACATCTCCCATCACTGTGCAACCCAGGCTATGTCCTGCTTAGCTTCAGAGGTCTGACGGGATAAGATGCAGCCGCTACCAGACATGTCCACACAAAGGCCAGCTGGCCAAATGAGACCCAATGTGTCTTTTCATGCGGCCCTCTGTCCAGTAAACACAAACTAGCTATTGAGGTCATCGAGCCAACTTCTGCTCTACCAATGTTGTCAAGCTGTATCTCGTAAAACTTTTGTAAAACTTTTGGAATTCCGCCATTTACTGTGTAGCTGTAGTGTGGGACAAATCAAACCCAATTTTAAAACCCAGAATCCAGTTTTATAACCACCTGGACAAGTCTGGTGAACTAAAGACCCTCTTACTAAAAAGCTTAAACGTATAAATATTTGCCCATGTTTTTTTGCTGTAATAGTAAATTTATTTATCTAACCTTTATCTCTCAGACACAACTCATCAACATTTATCTCTTTTTTTTCCATCCTAGCCAAATGTAAACACATAAAACTGAGTGGAATGCCTTGGATTAAACCGTATTAAGCACTGTCCCCATGTGGAATGACGATCAACACATTGAAAAATAGTCTCATAAAGAGTATTGTAAATCCCTCATGAAGAAGGTTAAAGGTTTTTTGTTTTTTTTTGACAAAAGCCAGTAGACTCGGGCGCAGGGGGCACAAGGCGACTGCAATAACAGACGTAGCCGTGGCAACAATTCAAAACATTTCACATTTAATGGCCTCGAACTTCAACATGAGACACACATAAAGCAGCAGGTCAGTGCACCGCTGCTACACAAACACAACTGCTCTGAAGAGTGTCACAACCACCGTATGCAATAACGTGAGTTTACAAAAACACAAGGGAAGGGCCCCGGGGGGTTCCTAAAGGACTTCCAAATAAACAGTGTCGTGTTTTGACCCTATGCCTCTGGGGCATTGTTGTGTTACGATTCCAAATACCGCTAGTTGTCCGGTTATTGTTGTATTGATGGTTCCCAATTTTTTTCCCTATATATTAGTTACTTTTTTATTTTATTGTTTTCAGTTTTACATTTATTTTTAAATCAGATAACTGGTATTTTATTGTCTGCATTACATTTGAATTGTTTTTTACTGCGTACATAATGTTTGCCAGCTTTATAGGTTTGCCGATATATAAAGCTGGCAAACCTGTATATTAAATGTGTTTCTTTTATAGCACTTTGGAAAATTGTTTTATGCAATATGATAAAATAAATAAAGTGGATTGGTCTGGATTGGATAATCAGTGTGTGTTTATGGACTGCTAACTGGCCTCAAAGTGGAACAAAACGGATGGATGCAAAATTGATCATCCCCAGCTTCACTTTCTCTCTTTCTCCAAAGCTTGTTTGTCCCATTGATAAAATATTTGTGTTCCTGAATAATGTTGCTACTTTTTATTTGGAAATGTTAGGACTCGACCGACCCCTCCACCCATGAGACTGTTGACTCTGAAGTCTGAAGGTGAAAGTCACATGTTACAAAAATAAAAAATGCCAATCTATTGAATCTGAAACAAGTACAAAAATCATAAACTCAAAGAAACAACACAGGGAAAAACATAAATAGGACACAATTGTACAATAACAAACGTTTTAGATATTTTCTCAACTAGAATAATACCAGATGGTTTTACTAACTATATACATTTTACATTGAATTAGAACATTTATAAAGAGTAATCAATCCAAACATGTTGAATGTGATTGTGCGTAAACTCGGTCTCATCATTGCACAGTCTACAGGTGACATCACAGACTCGGACAGACAGCAGCACGTGGAGGTGCGTCAGAAGTGCAAAAAGGAACCTACAGTATAACAACAAAAACAAAGGTCGGCTCTACTTTCTGTGTAACATTATTCACTAACTTCACTCTTTCTTAAGTAAGAGTAGCTAACACTTCCTGGCTTCTTTACCTGGTGTGCTGTGTTTACGTATTTTGTCCTCAGTGCACCTCAGACAGTTGCTTTCTAAAGAGTAGTGCTAATTTCCTATTTTCATGTGAACCTGATCACTCACGCAACTAAAGTAGTCTGCCCTTCAATCTATGTGATTTTCATTGCAATGAATGAGTGAACTAGTCCCATGTCTGGGTAAAACAAATCCAGGAACCTGCACCTTCTCATTGTCTTTCAGATGAAATAATTAATACGATCCGCCAACATGATAGTTTTGTCGTTTTGTTTTTCTATGTTATACCCATTTATGTGATTTTTATAACTAGTTAGTAACAACTACAGTGGATGTTTTTCATAAAGTAGAATTCATGTTTCCTTATCTATGTTTGCCAAAGATATGCATGAAAGCCGTGGTCGACTGTGGGCTGTGGGTTTTCTCTGCACGTGTAAACAGAGTGAACCATGACAGAGGTCCTGCTTTCTAATCCCACATTTATGAAGCTATTTGGACATGTACCAGCCAAAACACCAAAATAACCAAATCAAAGCAAAAAATATTAGAAGTCTGTAGTGTATAAACAACAAACACAGTAAATCAGATTCAAGGCAGCTTTAACGCAACGAGTTGTAGCATTAATATCTTGTGACATCACAACTAACTTTGAGAACCTTTATGTCAATCAAAACCACTTACGGACACTTGATCGTAGGTAATGGCATATTGATCGGGGAAGGGAAGCTTGCATCAATTATTTGATAATATTATTTTATATTGATATGATTTAGAGAACTTCTAAACAGGCATCTTTTCTACCACAAAAGCATGGCATATTTCTCTAGTGAACTCCTCAGACATGGACAGTGTCTGACATGGATAAGTGCTTTTAAGTCCTTTCGACCCACACGGGTCCTCCACCAGTCCTCTGTAGAAATGCAGGGTCTCTGGTCTTTCTCATCACAAAAATCCTGTTGGTCTGTGTTGGATTAATCCTTAATCCCAGGCCATGGCTCTGGTTTTACCTCTGTGGACCAGCCTAATCTGCTGAGCTATGTGTTTTCCACTTGGTGAACAAACATCTGATTACTTTATTTAGTAATTCAGATTTAGTCAAATCCGCTCTGAAAAACGTGTGTTTTTCATAACTTGCTCTCGGTTTCTTTCGCTTCCTTCCCGTTGCTATGCGTGTCCTTTTGAAGAGTGTTGGTCGCCTGTTGATCTTGATTCTCTGTATCGCTTCGTGGGATGCTTTCCGCTCTTGAGCCTGATCCTTTAGCTCCCATCGTTAGACTTTTCTGAAAACTTTCTGATGTAAAATAGTAGACCACGGGGTCCAGGCAACAGTTGAGACTGGCCAAGCAGAGAGTGATGGGATAGAGAGTCCGTGCAAAACGCTCCACAGAACAGTTGGCCAGAGCCTGGGTCCTCACCAGGGCGTAGAGGAAGAGGATGGAGTTGTAAGGCACAAAGCAGATGATGAAGATGCTCAAATGCACCACGATCATCCGTAAGACACGCTGCTTGTTGTTACTGTGGCCCACGGTTACAGGGCGACGGAGAGTTCGGAGGACCAGCGAGGAGCAGACCAGGTTTGCAAGGAGCGGACACAGGAAACCCACTATCTGCAAAGAGGAAGACAGAATGAGACATGGGGTCATTTCACACAAAACTTTAAAACTTTAACCCTGTGTTGCGCTCGGTTACAAATATGCAACGTAAAGTTCAACAGCTTTGGAAAAAGAAGTATGACTTTATGGTTTAATGCATCAACATGAAGAAGAAGATCGCCAAATTTTGCAATTGAATGCTGCTTTCCAATAATAGCAGAAATCCTTTTTATGAAACAAATATTTTGTCTGTGTTCAATGGGGTTCAATTTAACTTTGGATCTAATTTGTTCCAAATACATGTGTTTTGTCCCGACAGAAAGAGTTGAGTAAAATCAGACCGCCAACCTACTGTCAAATGATTAGAAGACATGTTATCTTTCACATACTTTTTACACTCTAAAAAGAGCCCTGTGAGTCTGTTTGACGCTGTTGTCGTGGTCCAATCTTTTTCACCTTTCTGTCTGAAAAAGCTGAACTAAAAATGTGACCAAAAAAAGGCCACCAATGCATGCATGTGAAAACTAGGGATAAATGAATGAATGAACGAACATATAGATAGATAGACCATACAGATAGCTTTACGCCCACATAGATATAATATAGAGCTACGGAAGAACTATGTTTTGTAGTTTGATGGGTTTGGTACTCCAGCTTTAAACACTTTATCCCATTTTCACTTTTTTTTCCCCCTACCTCTTAGAAAAGAAAAGAAAAAATGTTTTTTTTCGAATTATTATTATTATAGGCCTTTACCAAATGGTCGAGATGAAGTTTGATGGTAAAAGTACCTAGTGACATGCCCCAAAGAGGTATATTTCAGTTCCAAGCTTAAAGTAAATATTGTGAAAAAAAGGTGATCTACCCAAATGTATGAAGAAACGATTAAAGGGTTAAAGACACATTTCTGCTGGAGATCCATAACATAGTCAGAAAATCAAACACTCCCTTTGGTAACTAGTGTCTCACCTCTATGAAGATGGTGATTTTGGATAAGTATGTCTTCCAGGTGCTCTTGGAGAAGCCCTCGAAGCAGGTGGTGGCTCTGTGCTTATTGTTGATGGTGGAGAAAAACGTGACTGAAATCCCTCCTCCCACGATGGTGAGCCAGACCGCGGCACACACCAGGGCTGCGTTTCGCCGAGTGCGGATAGACCTGGACCGGAACGGGTACACGATCGCCAAAAACCGGTCCACGCTGATACAAGTGAGAAACAGCATGCTCCCGTAGATATTGGTGATAAAAGCCGTGCCGGAGACTTTGCAGAGTCCATCTCCGAACGGCCAGTGACGGTTGACGTTGTAGAACACCTTAAACGGCAAGGTGAAGACAAAAACCAAATCGGACAGCGCCAAATTAGTCATAAACATCGTGGTTTCGTTCTGCATTTTCATCCGGAAGCAGAAAACAAACAGCGCCGCGCAATTGGTGACGAGACCCAGGACGAAAACCACGCTGTAGACCACGGAATAGAGGTTGTACTTGAAGGAGTCGTCAATCCCGCAATCCTCCATCCCGGTCTCGTTCAAAACAAGACTAGCCATGGTTCTGGGTTGGTTACGCAAGACTCCGGGAAGACAGGTCCAAAGGAAATAGTAAAAAAGAAAAAAAAAACAGGATGGATGTGAGACCAATCAGCAGGGGACTGGAGGAGCAGTTAGGTCCACCCCAGAGCCATTGTGTGCCGACGGGAGCTTTCTCAGATCTCAAGGCTGCTGCTCCTACAGAGAGACAGAGAAAACAGGAAAAACTCAGTCACTTCCTCACAATAAAAGTTCACACCGAGGAACAAACAACTTCACATCCACACAGCGTAGGAGTCCAGGCCTGACTGAGACCGTGGGGCCATTGTATTCAAATGTCAGTACAGTGAAGAACCCAGGTGGACTTTAAAAGGCTTTATCCAGCTTGTTTATTGCTATGGGCCGCATTTTGACGCTCCCCAGTGTTTGTGTGTTTTGATCATTTTCAAAAGCACACATGAAACAAGGTTAAGTTACAACAATTGCATGATTTATTGAAAGTATTGGGTTCTTCTATACCAGACAATGTAAGGTTCTGTGATGTTAATACCTTATAGAAGAACCCAATACTTTTAATTCTACTAAGAAGACAAGATGAATCTTCCTGAACTATGCATGATTTATTTTTGTAAGAGTCATTTGAATTGCACACATTGTTGTTATGCTAGCATGCAAACAATACGGGAGCTGAAAACGATTGTAGAAATGAATAATTATGATAACAAATTATTTACTTAATGAATATTGCTCATCTCCAATAAAACAGAACATCGGGATGGAGGCTCAAGTGCGGTTAAAAATATAAGAACTGCCTTTCTCAGAGGGAACGGCAATTAAACCGTGTTTCACATATCACCAGAATGATTGACAATTAGGATGATCAATTTTTTGGATGATCCACCCGGAAGAAGAAAGTCCTCCCATACAGTACAGTATACCTTTAAGCTTCTGGTGATTTGATCTTGCTGATTGTTACTATGAAATCAAAATGTTGCCCCTTTTAGGGTATAGAGCAGGGGTCTCCAACCTTTTGCACACAGAGAGCAACTTTCTCAGGACTAGATTGAGAAAGAGCTACTCCTTTAAGCGTCCAGGTGAAAAGGAGTTCTATTGAATGGTGAGAGCAAGCCTTGGATGGGGTACTGTTATTGTCAACACCTATAGGTTCTAATCTAATACATTTTGGTACTGGTAGGTCTTGAGCCACAGGTTGGAGACCCCTGTAGAGCATTTGCAACTGTTGTAATGCACCACACATCCACTTTTATATGCACTGGCAACACAACTATCCAAACATTCAAACCTGTTTTTGTACCTCAAAACATATTCACAGATCACAGGATTTTTTGCTTTTTGTGAAGAGCTATGGACACCTTTTCCCAGACAGCCCGACTCCCTACAGAGGCCAAGTCTAGGTCACAGCCCCCACTTTGGGAAACACTGGTTTAGATTGTCTATCTGTTGGCCTGTAATCAAATTTAACATTAAATCCAATAGAGAATATACGGTTAAATGTGTTTACAGTCTACATTGCTCTGTAATTGACTCCTTTAAACTGCAGGGCTGTGTGTGTGTGTGTGTGTGTGTGTGTGTGTGTGTGTGTGTGTGTGTGTGTGTGTGTGTGTGTGTGTGTGTGTGTGTGTGTGTGTGTGTGTGTGTGTGTGTGTGTGTGTGTGTGTGTGTGTGTGTGTGTGTGCGTGCGTGCGTGCGTGCGTGCGTGCGTGCGTGCGTGCGTGCGTGCGTGCGTGCGTGCGTGTGTGTGTGTGTGCGTGCGTGCGTGCGTGTGTGTGTGTGTGTGTGTGTGTGTGTGTGTGTGTGTGTGTGTGTGTCTGTATCTTATCTGCTCTTTTAAAAACTGGTCTCTGGTCTCTCTGCGCTTCAGCTTCTGCCCTGGGACTGAGACGAACCACAGAGACAGGCGATTATAGGAGACTAAACACACACTGTGCCCTGCCGTAACACAACACGTGCGGCAGTAAATAAAACTACAAACGTAATTACACCACTTCTGCCGGAGCTGTGTTCATTATTATAGGGTTAAGTCAAAATGACATGTTTGTGGTTCTGTTTTCACAATAGTGTCATAATTGCAGGGCGTGAAAGCAAACGTACATGGGAAGAGACGGCAAAAAAACTTGAATCACGTCTGTCCAAATCTGAAATTACAGAGAATTATTTTGATTGTGGGAGACATTAATGCGTGCCACAATTAAATTCACTCATAAAGTTATTTCGTAAATCAAATGTATCAAAACATGGAGGCAATGAATTTGTAATTGAATAACTCAAATAACTCTTGTTTTAGTCTTAGTTTGAATAAAACAAATCAAATATCTCAAGAGCAGATCAATTCAAACTGCTGCATGAACAAAAACTGTCTTAAAGCTGCAGTACCAAGATTTTTCATTCATAAATAATAATAATAATAATAGTATATTTCTGTGAGCAAATCCGGCCATGACATGCGGTTATTGTCTCATGGGCGAAAGTGGCTCAGTTGGTCGAGCATTGGCCTTTGAGCCTGCAGGTTGTGGGTTCGAGACCACTGCAAAACCTTCTCCACCGACTCACACTAATGTCTGCTGTTGTTGTGTCCTTGGGCAAGACACTTTACCCCACTTTGCCTATAACGAGCACGGAAATAACAGCACATTGCACGCCTTGATGTGATATGTGTATATGGCTGTTCATCAATCTGAATGTCTCCATTATGAGAGCAATAAAGTATATGTTCTTCTTCATTAGAAAAATATTTTGAATATTTTTGACATTTTGGGCTGAGAGTTGATTGGCTGAGTGAGACCGAGGCCAGAAAATACAACAATGTGAAATCTAGTGATAGAACCAAACTGGAATCATGATATATTGTATGCCATTCCATTGTTGTTGTTGTTCGAAAGTTAGGTACCCCAGCTTTAATGCACTTGCTAATCAAACAGCTCTTGGCCTGGACCTGTTCACACACTACGATTTAGTTTCCGCGAGTCCTCCGTGTCTCTACAGGCCAAGCTTTCACCTCAGCTATAACTTATTTCAACGTTTTAGCGCTTTAATGTGCTTGTTGTGGTCCGTGGGGGTAAATCGGGCGCTTGGATGCGACTCTCCTTGTTTTCTGTGTCTTTGCCTCATTCACGAAGACGGTGGTGTGAGTGTGGGCAGTCCATCAGCGCTGTCCTGTGCCAGCTGCGGTGTGACATCTTTACTGCACTTTCACACGCCCTCCCCCTCCCCAGGCGCCTCCCCCCTCTCAGAGTCCACCCACCTCCCTGCACAAAGCCCTACTGTAGCCTTATGTACCCACCACAAGCTGACATAACTAGTCTAATGAATCCGGACCCAACATTTGTACAGGTTGAAATTCACAGACATTCACGCTGGTTCAGTCTATTAAAGCTGGGGTATCTGACTTTTTTGTTAATTTTTTTGTCATACACAGCAAAAAGTGATCAAATATATGGTCATAGAGGTTTCAATCAAATCTTTTTATCTTATTCAATGAAACAAGCCATTTAGACTTATTTATGTCTCATTCCAAGGATGACAAAATGAGCTCAAATTAGGATAAAAACACTCAATCCAAGCAATTACTACCGTATATTTCAGGATTTTTTGCAGAGTAACAGAAAGAGTCTTGCTTGGATAACTTTTTGTGAACCAATCAGCCCACAACATACGGTCTTTATCTTATGAGAAAACATCTTTTACATACTGACAGCTGATTGGCTCCTTTCCACTTTTGTGTCTGAAAAAGTTGAGCCAAAAATACATGTGTGTGAAAACTAGTGTTAGAACTGTTGAGAGTAAGGAACTAGTGACATGGATCTTATTATGACTTGTCTGTGGTAAAGTAAACATTTTGCAGTACTGGATTGAGTAAGTTCAAAGTTTCTTATATACAAAGGTTAATTTAGTTTGGTTCACTTGGATTACTAATGATTTAGCATTAGCATATTTTGTCCTAACATAACAATATATCTTGCTGTAAAATTGATGAGGCCTTTTCTGTTTGAATTCAACATGTGCTTATTTTTATGAAAACACCCATTTCCTTGTTCACACAAATCTCCTTTTATAGATAATAGAGTTAAAAGTCTACACTAAGCTCATTACTGACAATGGTTTAGGGTGCGTTCACACAAATAAAGCATTTTTGCCGAAGAGAGCCTGAACTGGAAGTACAAACCATCTGATATCACCAAATTGAAGCGTTGATCTGTCGTCAAAGTCAAAACTATAGAAAATGAGATATTAACCAATATTAACACTATATCCTCATTTCAGAAAGTATCAATCTAAAATAATCACATAAACATGACAACTTGTAAGATTCTCCATGTTGTTATTGACGTAAGATAATGCTGTTAGTTTGTTTGTCCCTGTGTTATCAAAATTGGTATCGATATTGGATCTATTTCTTAGTATCGGAATAGAGTTTGTTATTGTGACAGCACAAAGGTCAAAGTTGATCTCGGACTCTTAACCCTAATCCTAACCCAATGACCTCTGATTGGTTGGCTTTAACAGTGATCCTGGGGCAAAGAACTTCGATATTGATCCTGAAGAAACTACTTGACGGTTTCTTTAAACAGCAACAATGAGAAACATCAGCATTAGTGACCGCAGAAGAAATGTAAGCTTAATACTACACTCCACTATTTCTTAAGTCAAAAATTGCTCAAATTTGGCAAAATGTATCTAAATTAGAGTGCATTTTGACTGCTTATGAACAAGATTTTAAAGCAGTCTCCCTTGAGAAAATAAAGCATGAGTTCTTGAAATCCTGAATGGCTTTGTCCCATTGTTTTAAGAAAATCAGAATGTACTCAGATACAGACGCAGATATACGTTTTGCCAAATTATAGTTATTTGTACTAAAAATAAGATTTAAAAAACACTAAATTCAAGCAATTGCTACGTAATATTTTATCATTTGCAGCTGTGAAAGTCTTATAAAAGGCTGATATTGCTCACTTTGGCCCCCCATTTTTATCAACCTCTCATCCTGAAGTCTACGCACAAAC